TTCAACAATTGGAAAGATGAAAAAAAAACATACTAAAGTAAGTCTTGTTGAAGGAAAAGTAAGAGATTTAATAGCAACGTGGGGGTCATATTATCCAAATGAAATGTGTGAATATTCAGTATTATATAAAAAATATTGTAGTGAAGAGGTTATTAATCCAATGATTCAACCAACTACTTTTCTTCCAAATGAAATTACTAAATTATTACCACATGTTGAACATAATTTAAGAAATATTTCTAAAGGTTTAGAAATGGGTGTTGGTGATTTGGAAAATATTTATAAACATGCAACTAAAATTAATACAAAATTCCAAGATGAAATAGCTAAAATAAAGAAAGAAAGTAATAGGTATGATAATCAAAAATTAAATGAAATATTTGCTACTGGTGATAGATTAAAAGATGCTCTTAAACAACTTGAATCTGAATTAACTAAAAGAAATCATCATATCACTGATATTGATGATGTAGCAACTTCTATTAAAGAAGGTATGTTTATTAGACCTACTCCTAGAAGACTTAATGTTACAATTGTTCCTCCACCAACATCAAACAAATCACATACAGTTTTTATGAAAAGATATGATTCACCAATAATTTCATTAACACCAAATTCTTTTACTACTAATAATAATAATCTTTATGTTAATACAGAACCACTTTTTGATATTAAAAGTCATAGCCCTCTTATAAAAACAACATCAAATCAACAACCTCCTATTCAAAATACATCAACAATTATTAATAAATCTATTTCTCCAAATATTTTTGAAATGGATGAAGATATTGAGCAACAACATCAACAATCTTCAAATACTACTATACCTTCTATTCTTTAAAATGTTAAAGAAAGTAAAATAAGTTAATACAAATTTACTATTATTTTTATATCATATTTTTTTTTTATTTTTAAACAACAAACTATTTATTTAATTGTCTATTCAAATGGAAAATGAGCAATTAGAAGATTTTATTAGAAATCATCTAATGATTAAAACAAACGAAAAGGAAATCGAAAAGAATATAATTCAATTACTTGAATTAGTTCGTTCATATTTTTCATTTGAATGTTCATTAAATAATATCTTTAATAAACCTAAAACAGAAGAATGTCCAATTTGTTTTGAAACAAGAGAAGTTGGGTTAATGTATTCTATTGAACCTTGTAAACATAGATTTTGTTTATGTTGTTTAATTGAACATGTTAAACAAAAAGCTACAAATGGAGAATGGGAAATTAAATGTCCTGAACAAGAATGTGAAACAATTATTCCTCTTTCAACTCTTGTAAATGATGGTTTAATTCAAGAAATTAATGTATTAAATAAATTAGAAATGAATGGAGTTCAAGCAAATTTACGAAGTGATTCACATACTAGATATTGTCCAAAATGTGGATATGCTATTATTGGTACAAGAAAAACCCCACGAATTGTTTGTCCACAATGTTCATTTGTTTATTGTTATAATTGTAAAGAAGAATACCATGAAGGATATTCATGTAAACAATATCAACAATGGAAAATTGATAATGGAAAAGGCGATGAAGAATTTAAAAAATATGTTAATACTCATTGTACTCGTTGTCCAAGATGTAAAATACCAGTAGAAAAAATTAAAGGATGTAATTTTATTCGATGTGATTTAAAAAAAGGTGGATGTGGGTGTGGATTTTGTTATGCCTGTGGAAAAGAAGTATCACATCATTCAGCACATATTTTAAAAAGAAATTGTTCATTATCAGGAGAAGAATTACCGAGATAATTACATATAAAGAAATTATGTTACATTCATTTATTATCGTTTATTTCTTCTTAAATTTCTGACGTTTCTAAAAATAAAATGATAACAATCTTTAAAATCTTTTTTTTAATGATTACAGACAAACGAATATAAAGTAATATTTTGAGCTAATAAATTTTGTACTTCTACATCATTTTGACGAAGAAAGAAAGTTTTACCATGTGAAATATTTAGAAGATAATTGTTAATACAAGTTCCAACACTTTGAATTTCATCTTTTTTCATTAAAAAATTATTCTTATAAAATATTTGTTGAACTCGTTCTACTTGAAAGGTTTTTGGGTTCTTCTTTGAATAAATTGAATTAAAAAAGAACCCATGTTCACTACAGAAATCAATCAATAGATTTTGTGTAAAATATATAATATTCTTTTTTATCCTTCTTTGTAATGATTTTTCTTTAACTAAAAAGTGTTTTGATTTATTTAATAAATCATTTGCTTGTTTTTCTGCAAGTGTTGAAACATCAATAAGATCATCTTGTGTATGAATTTTTGATATATTTGGTAATGTTGCAGTTATTTGAGACATTTTAGATGGGTTTTCAATAGTAAATCCACAAAATTTATTTGCTAATCCAATTAAAACTGCTTGTTGAAAAACCATATCATCTTTAACTCCATGTTCTCTAACTAATGAATTTTTTCTTCTTTTTCTTGCATCTTCATTTGATAACTTTGGTCCATTAGGAATTGGATTATCAGACATGTTAGTGTGTGATTGTAAATTTAATATCTGCGATTCGTCTTGTCTTTTCGTAAAGATCTTGACATTTTTAAGGCCTTTATTATTTCTTAAAATTCATTTTTTGTGGCTTTCTTTTTTATACTATTTTTTGTATTTATTTTCTAATACTCAAAATTGAACTTGAACTTATTAAGAACAAATTAATTCTTAAAAGTTATTGTTTCACATCAACACATTGAATTGAAAAATCTACAATTTTCTTTATTTCTGTATCATTTTGTTCAAAAACAACATCAGGAAGATCATGATAATGTTCAATCATATAGCGATACATTTTATTACCAATTGTTTTCATCCCATTTCGATTAAGAGCTAATTCTTTTCCTCTCTTAATACAATGTACTCGTTCAAACCTTAGTGTTCTTCCAGATAATCGTGTCATTTTTGAATCAAAAGTAAATCCTAATTCTAGTGCAGTGTCTATTAAAAAATTAGATATAAATGTTTTAATATTTTTATCATATCTTTTTTGGGCTGTATTAATTTGAATCCCTTCTTCAACATCATTTTTAAATATTTGTTTACAACTATTTGTTGCTAATGTTTCAACATCTATAATTTGTTCATTAA